TGAATACATGGGTTCGTAGAGCGTAGGACAATATCACATAGTAAAAAGCCGCTGAGCAACGACCGATTGAACGTCGCGCCACCCCGTCGAGAGCATAACTGAACACGGCAAACCATGCGTGCGCAGAACCGGACATAACCGAAAACGCTTCGGTGCCGCGAAAGTCTCGGCCGGTTTCGCGCCCCCATCAAGACGCGGCTTAGGCGGGGGCGCCATTGCGAGGTCGCGCTGAAGAAGCGCCGACCTTTTTCGAGAAAGTCGCAGGCGGGGGCGTCATTTCGAATTCGAACCCAAGGGTGGCGAAGTCCAATTTGCGGGACATCCTCGGCGCGAGTGCCATGTCGAAATCGTGCCCGGAGGGTTCCGAATTTATTTCAGGTGAAATCTTGGGCGAGAGCGCCGTTTCGAACTCGAGCCAGTTCTAGTTTGACTCAAGCCTGCGCGGCGCCCCCCGCTGCGCTGCGTCTGCAGCGCTGTCTGAGCTTAGCGCGTGCTTTCGTGTTTTGACGTGCGGATTCTAATAAATAGACCTAGGCATGAGGGCGCCGCGAATCTCGAGGTTCGCCAGTTCGCCCCCCGCGCGCTCGACGAAACAGAAGGTGTCGGGCGCCGCCGCCTCGGCGCGACCGACGGCGCCGATCGCCCGGCGGTCGGGCGCGAGACTGCCGAGGCGGCCCCTCTGCCATTGGCGCCGATTCCGCCGGCGCGACCCCCGGGAAGCCAGTCGAGGCGTCGCAGGCGCTCAAGGCGGCAAAGGGTGGGTTGGAGGAGAGGATCTCGAAATTCGACGTGTCCGCGGAGCAGTGGGGGGGCCCGGAGTCGCTCGAGGCCGAGCTGAAGTTCGCCGAGGAAGAGATCGAGCGGCATGGCGCAGCCGCAGTGCTCGCAGCGCGAACCCAAGGCATCGACGAGGAGTTTGCCGGGCAGGAGGCAGCAGAGGCCGCGGCCGAGAAGAAGGAGGATGGGGGGGGTGCAATCGGGCATAGCCAGGGCCCCAGGCAAGGGGGCCGGGTTAGTAGCAGGGCCCCAGAGCCTTTAAATTTGCCAGAATCACTAAACCAGGTCTGCCGTGGCGAGTGTTTTTCGGGCGACGGCAGTTCCGGCGAGTGGAGCGGGGCGGGTGGGGGACCCCCAGTACGCATCACTAAACCAGATCCCGCTAAACCCAATTCTGCCAGCGCCCGATGGAAGGCCACCGAGGACACGGAGAAGGAGGAAGCAGGCCGCCGTCTCCAGAGGCTCCTCGGGGGCGGCGCTGCCGCGGCAGCCGCTTCTTCTGAGGGGGTCAGCGAGGGGGCCGATGCATTTGGGGGCGAGGAAGGGAAGGCTCCCGCTGGCGTCGATGGCACCTTGGATTTCAACGGGCGCGGGGGCTGTCTGTGCGAGGAAGGCCGCTTCTACCTCGCGACAGGGGTCGCGCTGACCGAGCTGGCCTTGCAAATCAGAGTCCCGCCGAGATCGCAAAGGCCACCCGGCGCGGCCCGTCGACAGCTGGGGCGATCCCGAAAATGGACGCCCACGAGGACAGGGCACGCGCGAAGTTGCTCGCGCATCTCAGCCTGGCCAGGACCGCCTGCGAGGTCCTCGCCGGGCAGCCGGCCACCAAGACCGTATTATTGGGGTCCTTTCCCGAGATCGCCATGAAAGTCAACGTCGCGGACGCCCGTCGGGGGCCCATCGGTTTCTCTTTCAAGAAGGAGCACGAGGCGGAGCACGAGAGCATCATCGCACATCAACTTCTGGCGCAGATTTGTGGTAAAACCGGCAAGTCGGCCTCGGCGCGGGAGACTTCGAAGGAAGAAAGCGTCGCGATCAACCCGCAGACCAAGGCGAAGTCATCCATTCTCGCTCTCGGGTGTTCTGGGAAGCAGGACCTGGGCCGCCAAGGTGCAGCTCGCAGCAACGGACTGGTGCACTGGTGCAGCACCCTCGCACGGTCGGCTTCGAGACCTGCAAAAAGGTGGATACCTTCGCCTCCGTCGCCGAGAAGCCAGAGTCCGATGACGAGGAGGAGGAGGAGGCGGAGGAGGAGGAGTTGAATTGAGGCGTCCATAGGCGCCGCGGTGGTTCTCGCCCTCTTGCTGCGAGACATCAGACATAGTGGCGCTGCGTTCATTTGCACCGTTTCTCAAAACATAAGGAAGTCTTGTGTGGGAGCACCATGTCGAAATCCAACCCGGAAGTTCCGAAATCGATCGAAAACGATTTGTTGAGGAAGTCTCAAGCGAAACCGTCGTTCCGAAATGGCCACACCGTCCAGCATTCCATACGTTGAATTTTTGACCGGAGATTTCGAACAGTTGGGCATCGCTCGAACCTTCCTCCCAAACAGCGATCTCGATTGGATCTCGAAACCACATGGCCCGACTTCGAAGAGGCGGCTCCGCCCAAGACCTGCGCAGCACAGCGCTCGAACAAAGCATTGGCAGTGGGGCCCCGTAGCCCGACGGTCTCCTCAATGGCTCCTCCCGCGTCGCCGGCGCAACGCCGCTGACAACGCACTGTTTGGGGGCCCGTCGCCTCGCGGGGGGCGCGGCATTTTGGCACCAACGCTCGCAGCGGCGAGGTAGTTCGGCAGGGCAGAACGCAGCATCGACCGAGCAACACCGCGCCATCAAAGGGCGACGTGCGCGCCGAACTCGCGCCGGCCACGTCAACGCACAGCCCATTCGGGCAGAAGCGCCGAAGGTGTCGGTGGGATCGCTCGACACGTGCTTGTTGTTTCTCTTTCTCTCTCTCTCTCTCTTTCTCTCTCTGTGTCTTTCTCTCCCTCTCTCTTTTTCCTCTCTCGCCGTCCTTCCCTCTCTGTCTCTCCTTTCTCTCTCTCTCTCTCTCCCTCTCCCTGTCTCCCTGTTTTTCCTGGTCTTTTTTCGCTCAAGACGAGCAGGAGACAGGCCGGCAGGAAGGGGAGCAGCGAGGACCACAAAAAGGACGAAGCGCAACAGAGGTGGCCCGAGAGGCAGCACCGGCATCAGCGACACCAGCGGCGCCAGCGGCAGGGGAGCGCGGCGGCATCCCCTGAGATCCGCGACGCCGAGAAAAGACTGGCAACGTTGCGAGACGACGTCACGACCGTAGCTCCAGACCCCCGACCCCATGTTTGTTCAGCATGGCCATATCGATTTGCGATTGCCCCAGGGCCCGACACACGGCGAATAACTCCAGTGCGAACAAAAGCGCCGACGTCCAGATCTCAGGGTCGGCAGCAGGCACGGAGGGAGTGGCGCGGCCTCGCAGGCCATCGGGTGCCCAGTCGAAGGCACGTCTTCCAGTGCGTCGCACGGAAAGGGAGGCGGAGGAGGATGAGGAGAGAAGGAGGAGGAGGAGGAAGAGGAGGAGGAGGAGGAGGAGGAGGAGGAAGACGAGGACGAGGACGAGGACGAGGAGGACGAGGAGGACGAGCAGGACGAGGAGGACGAGGAGGACGAGGAGGAGGGGGAGGACGAGGAGGACGAGGAGGACGAGGAGGACGAGGAGGACAAGGAGGAAGAGGAGGAGGGGGAGGAGGGGGAGGAGGAGGAGGAGGAGAAAGAAGAAGAGAAGGAGGAGGTCGAGGAGGAGGAGTAGAAGGGGGGGGAGGAGGGGGAGGAGAGGAGGAGGAGGAGGAGGAGGAGGAGGATGATGATGATGAGGAGGAGGAGGAGGAGGAGGAGGAGGAGGAGAAGGGGGAGGAGGAGAAGGAGGAGGACGAGGAGGAGGAGAAGTAGGAGTATGACGGGGAGGAGGAGGACGAGGAGGAGGAGGAGGAGGATGAGGACGGGGAGGAGGAGGAGGAGGAGGAGGAGGAGGAGGAGGGAGGAGGAGGAGGAGGAGGAGGACGAGGAGGACGAGGAGGACGAGGAGGACGAGGACGAGGAGGACGAGGAGGACGAGGAGGACGAGGAGGACGTGGAGGACGTGGAGGAGGAGGAGGAGGAGGAGGAGGAGGAGTGATGGGGGGAGGAGGAGGAGGAAGATGAGGAAGAGGAAGCGGAAGAGGAACAGGAATAGGACAACGAAACAGACATTTGGATACTAAGAAGACTAACGCTACGAATTAGAAAACGAAGACGAACAAGCAAACGAATAATACCACTACTATGAATACGGAGAAGAAGAGGAGGAGGACGGAGGACGGAGGACGGAGGAGGAAGACGGAGGAGGAGGAACAGGAGGGGGAGGATACAGTTTCAGGATCAGGAACAGGAGCAGGAGGAGGAGGAATTCATCGAGGGAACACTGGGAGGAGAAAAACAAGGGGGAGGAGGAGGAGAAGGAGGAGGAGGCGGAGGAGGAGGAGAACGATAAGAAAAGGAGGAGGAGGAGGAAGAGGAGGAGGAGGAGGAGGCGAGGAGGATGCGTCGAAGGGGGAGGAGAGGAGGAGGAGGAGGAGGAGGAGGAGGAGGAGGAGGAGGAGGATACAGTTGCAGGAGCAGGAGGAGGATGAGAAGGAATACATCGAGGGAACAATGGCAGGAGGCAGGAGGAGGAGGAGGAGGAGGAGGAGGAACGAGGAGGAGAACGAGGAGGAGGAGGAGGAGGAGGAGGAGGAAGGGGGAGGAGGAGAAGGAGGAGGAGGAGGAGGAGGAGGACGAGGAAGAGGAGGAGGAGGAGGAGGAGGAGAAGGAGGAGGAGGGGGGAGGAGAAGGAGGATAATGAGGAGGAGGAAGAGAAGAGGAGGAGGAGGAGGAGGAGGAGGAGGAGGAGGAGAGGAGGAGGAGAGGAGGAGGAGGAGGGGAGAGGAGGAATAGGAGGAGGAGGAGAAGGAGGAGGAGGAGGAGGATACAGTTGCAGGAGCAAGAGGAGGAGGAGGAGGAGGAGGAGGAGGAGGAGGAGGAGGAGGAGGAGGAGGAGGAGAAGGAATACATCGAGGGAACAATGGAGCACGAGGAGGAGGAAGAGGAGGAGGAGGAGGAGAAGGAGGGAGGAGGAGTAGGAGGAGGAAGATGAGGAGGAGAGGAAGAGAGGAGGTGGTGGTGCAGGAGGAGGAGGAAGATTGCAAGGGCGGCATTGCCCCCTAGGCCATCGGGCGCCCGGTCGGGGACACCTCCTCCAGCGCGTGTTACGTCACCGACCTGCCGAAGAATTTCCACGGCGGCGAAGAGGCGCTCCACTGGTCGCTAGGCAGCGCCCCGCGCCAGCTCTGCAGCCTCCTCGTCCTCGTCGTCGTCCTCCTCCTCCTCCCAACTCCTCCTCCTCCTCTCTCTCTCCTCCTCCTCCTCCTCCTCCTTCCTCCTCCTCCTTCCTCCTCCTCCTCCTCCTTCCTCCTCATTCCTCATCCCTCCTCCTCCATCCTCATCCTCCTCATCCCCTCCTCTGTCCTCCTCCTCCTCCTCCTCCTCCCTCCTCCTCCTCCTCCTCCTCCTCCTCCTCCTCCTCTCCTCCTCCTCCTCCTCCTTCTCTCCTTATCCTTCCTCCTCTCTCCCCCTCCTCCCTCCTCCTCCTTCCCCCTCTCTCCTCGTCCCGCGCCGCAGCTAGACTCTGCGTGCCCCCCGCGCGGCCACGCCGCGCTCGGGCGCCCGAGGCCCCCGGCCAGCAGCCGCTGCGCTCCGCTCCACTGCCTCCCGCTCCGCTGCCGGCAGTCCTCGCGCGCGTTGGCCTCCGCAGGAGGAGGAGGAGGAGGAGGAGGAGGAAGACGGAGGAGGAGGAGGAGGAGGAGGAGGAGGGAGAGGAGGAGAGAGGAGGGAGAGGGAGGAGGAGGAGGAGGAGGAGGAGGAGGAGGAGGAGGAGGAGGGGGAGAGGAGGGAGAGGGGGAGGAGGAGGAGGAGGAGGAGGAGGAGGAGGAGGAGGAGGAGGAGGAGGGGGAGGAGGAGGAGGAGGAGGAGGAGGAGGAGGAGGAGGAGAGGAGGAGGAGGAGGAGGAGGAGGAGGAATAAGAATACTACTAATAATAATATTATGAAGATGAAGAAGAATAATAATACGAATAATAATAAGAAACTAGTAATAATAATAACTAGAACAAGAAGAATACTAATAATAATAATGTTAATACTAATAATAATAATGATAATAAGAAGAATAATAACATTAATAATAAGAATAATACTAAGAATAAGAATAATAATAAGAATATGAATATGGCTACTGATGAAGACGAATGAGAATACGAAGACTACTAATAATAATAATAATAATAATAATAACAATACGAATACTAATAATTGTAAGAAGAGGAGGAGGAGTAAGAAGAAGAAGAATAAGGAGAGGAGGAGGAGGAGGATGGAGGAGTTTGGAGAGGAGGAGGAGGAGGAGGAGGAGGAGGAGGAGGAGGAGGAGGAGGAGAGGAGGAGGAGTTTGAGGAGAGGAGGAGGAGGGGAGGAGGGAGAGGAGGGAGAGGAGGAGGAGGAGGAGGAGGAGGAGGAGGAGGAGGAGGAGGGAGAGGAGGGAAGGAGTAGGAGGAGGAGGAGGAGGAGGAGAAGAAGGAGGTCTGCCCAGGGCCAGGCGCCCCTCCTCCTCCTCTTCCTCCTCCTCCCTCCCCCTCCTCCCCCTCCTCCTCCTCCACTGCCGGCAGTTCTCGCGCGCGCTGGCCTCCCAGTCAGGGCTCATCTCGACTCCTCCGACGCGGTTCGCTTCGATGTCGGGGGCCTCCGATTCGGGTTCGGTTCGACCTCGGGTTCCGATCTGGGCTCTGGTGTCTCAGTGCGGGCCTACTGGCCTGCCGGTTTCTGCAGATTCGATCCCTCCCGGCTTGGCTGCCGATTTTTGCCGATCCGATTCTATTCGATCGCAGATCTGACTTATCGATTCGATTCTGGGCTCGCCTGCCCAGTCTGCATGCATCCCCAGGACGAGAGGCTTTCCTCGTGGGCCCAGAACGACGGCTTGAGGTCTTGAGCAGACGCGCGTGAGGTAACCGCCGTCGGATCCCATGAGGTTCGCGCGGATCCAAATGTGGCTTTGGTGTTTGTTTCGGTGGATCCGATTTCCGTCTGCGCGGATCCGATTTCGGATTTCCTGGATCCGTGTTCGGTCTTGCTTTTTACGGCGGATTCGATGTTTACCCCTTTATATATGTATAAATATATAGTAAAACGGGGAACCGGAGGAAATCGGATCCGCGGACCCCGGAACCCGCCCGTGTTAAGATTCTACGGGGGAAGGGGGTTCGGTCATTAATGTCCAACTCATCATCGCCATGTGCACCTCGAGAGGGAAATCTTTCGTCCTGCGTAAGTAGGAGGCCACATGCGAACCCTACCCCTTCCTCCCACGATTTCTGAGGGAAGGGTGGGGTTCACTTTGCTCGGGAGCTCCCGAACGAAGTGCCACCCTCCCCCTCAGAAATCATGGGGAGTATGGGTAGGGTCCGCATGTTGCCCCCTACTTCAGTCGGGTATAGCCAGGACCCCAGGTAAGGGGACCCGATTAGTGGTAGGGTCCCAGGGCCCCTAAATTGGCCAGAATCATTAAACCCGGTTTGTTGGTGTTTTTTCGGGTGACGGCAGTTCTGGTGAGTGGAACGGGACGGGGGGGGCGTCCCCCAGTACACATCGCTAAACAAGGTCCCACTAAACCCAGTTCTGCCAACGCCCGATTCACGAGCGGAACATGGACTTACACGTACATGAGTCCACGCTCGTTTCATAAGAACGCATTGCGCGAACGTTCGTATCACGAGGCTGGTCTCGCTGACTGGGGGGCCGTATTCATGTACGCTGTTGGGCGCGTATGTCTTGTGTGGGCTCTCTAAGTCTGTCGCCACTTCTGGCTTCTCTCACACGCACCACCACCGCTCTTCACGCACATGGTATATGATGTCCTGTAGGGCCAGACCACATCTGAACGAAGATCTTCATGCCCTTGAGCTCCGTCTCTGGCAGGGTGGTTGTGGCTTTTCTTGCTTCCTCCTCTGTGGAAAAGCACGCTTGCCCGTACCCCAGCGATCTCCCGTTGGCGGTCCCACGGTGCCCGCCTGCTTCGTGTGGTCCTTGAGTTCGCCCCAGCCGACGTCGTAGCCGAGCATGTTCTCCCCACTCCGCAGGTTGTTTCCGAAGCCCTCAGTTTGCACGCTTCGTTCCGAGCCTGTAGCTGACGACGTCTTGGTTGCGCTGGTCGCTCCAATGCCCGCTGCCACTGCCAGCCCGCTGCCATCTGCCACTGCCGGCTGTTACCCAGGTCTTTTTGGCCCCTGATGCTGCAGCTCCGGGCCTGTAGCTGCATGGACGTTTTGCGTCGCTGCCCCAGCTGGCATTGTAGCCCGACTGTAGTTAATGACGTTTCTGCTGGCTGCCATTGCAGCCCATTCTCGCATGCTCGGGTACAGCCAGGATCCCAGGTACGGGGGCCCGGTTTGTAGTAGGGCCCCGGAGCCCCTAAACTGACCAGAATCACTAAACCAGGTCTGCCGTAGCTCGTGTTTTTCGGGTGACGGCAGTTCCGGTTAGTGGAACGGGGCCTGGGGGGCGCCCCTAGTACACATCACTAAACCAGGTCCCATTGTCCCACTAAACCAAGTTCTGCCAACGCCCGACATGCACCCACTGCTGGCCTGCTGCCACTGGTTCCTGCTGCCACTGCCGAGTCTTCACGCATGCTCTATTCCGAGACTGTTGCTGGTGACATATGGGCGTCCCCCCGTACAGGACAAACCAGGCAGGGGGTGTTGCGCTGTCGAGTGTACGCCTGCTGTCTTCGGGACGTGGTTGTCCTGCTGTCTCGGACAGGCTAGGTCTCTCTCACTCTCCGGGTGCTTCTCGCTCTCTTCATCCCTTTCTGGAGTCTGGAGTTCTTCTTCCATCCTCCTCCTGCTCTCGGATCTCCTGAATATCTGCTCTGAGCTGCTGGACGACGGCGCGGTGTCCGTGCTTCGCTTAGCTGCCAATTTGCAGGCATCCGATACGGACCAGTTCGGGGCCTCTGGCCGCATCGCGATCCACAACCAGGCAGCTACGGCAGCAGCATCGCCTCTTTCCACCTTCATTGTGCAGGTCGTCGCCCCCGACGCGATTGTCTTCCGCGTCGCTGGTGCCCGTGCCCGCTGTGATTACCTTCTCTTGCCGCTGCCGTTCCTCCTCGTCCCTCGTGCTCTTCGCGATGCCCGCAGAGTCCAGGAGCCCGAGCGCGTCGCAGTAGCGGGAACAGTACAGGTTGACCAAGGCCGAGGACATGATTCTGCCGCGGTGTCTCCTGTTGCGCGTTTGGCTCTTGCTGCTGCTTGCTGCCACTGCCGCCCCGCTTTGTGCTGCAACCGTGCCTTCTTCACGCACGCACCACCCTGAGAGTTTGTCGCTGCTGACGACGTCTGGCCACTTCCTGGTGCTGGTGGCGCAGCTCCTCCGGGCGCCGGGTTCGCCTCCCTCTGTGGCCGACGACGTCTGCAGCCCGCTGCCCGCCCAGCCGTGTGCTGCCACTGCTGACCCTCCTCGCACGCAGTGTGCGGGCCCTGCAGGTGCTGGCGGATGGTGGCCGCGGCCGCCACTGCGTGCTGCCACTGCTGCCTCTTCACACGCGCTCCACTCCAGGCGTGGAGCTGATGGTACTGCGTCCCCCCTGTGCAGGACGGAGCCGTCGGGGGTTGCTGCTTTGCGTCGTTCTTGGCAGCTGTCTGGCGTCGGGAGTCCCCCCTGCACGGCACGAAGCAGTCATGGGTTGCTGCGCTGCTGCGTGCTTCTCGGCTGTCTGCGGTAGGGTGCCCCCCCCTGTACAGGACGAAGCTGTCAGAGGTTGTTGTGCTCTCGTGTGTACGCCTGCTGTCTCGGCTTCGTAATCCTCCCGGTTCGGTGCTGGAGCCAAGTTTGTGAACACCTCCTCCCATTCATTCTGCTTCTGCTGCTTGACGCCTCGTTCCTGCTGCCACGATTCACTGCGCTCCCACTCTGGCCATTGCTGCTTTCATTGCGTCTATCTGTCTGATCCCACCGTTCTTGATGATTCCGCCAGCTTTTCCACTCGCCCAGCTGCGAGCTCAGGTGGGTGACGGTTTCTCGAAGCTCTGTGATAGTAATGGTTTGCTCTTGTATTCTATCGCAGGCGGCTCTCGGCCGCCTGTTGTCGTTTGGCCCTGCGAGTGTGGCCGGCCAGCCTGGCCCAAAGACTGCTTGCCGAGGCTACTGGTATGACGGGCTGCGCGTGCTGCACGAGCACACCATGCCGAGATCATTCCATGCTGGCTGAGGCGCCCAC